GCCTTCTGGGCACTTAGAGAACCTGCAGATGCCTTCTCAGAGTCAACCCCTTTCCCCAGGCTAGGCCTACCCAGCTAGGGGGACGTGCTCCATTATTTTTCCCTTTAGTTTTATTTTTAAAGAGGGAAATGAATTGTAAGGTGGGAAAAAAGAGCCCAGCTCCAAACGCTCTGTGTGAAATGTGTCACTTGCGTCATGGGAGCCTTCGAAACTTTGCCGGTGTTGCTTGGAACTGAAACTGTAAAAATGTCACAGCAGAGTTACTGTGCGCTGAATGGGACGTGGAGGAGGAGGTCTCCAGGGAAAGGTGTCATGGTGGTCCTGGGCTCCTGGTGGCACACGCAATAATGTGAAGGTCTGGAATTGGGATCGGCTCGGGGGGTTAGCAGGGTCCTTCTGGGTCCCAAAGAGAAAATTGCTCCCAAATGATTTCTGCAGTCCTGAGGCTCTGGGGCTCTTGTGCTTGAAGGACTTAGCCCACGTCTGGCTGTGCCCTACATAGCGAGCATCACACAGCCACTGAAATATGCTACTCGCCTCTGTAATGTCCAAAGAAAGGGGTGCAAGAGTTTCCACATGGGCTCCGGAGGAGACAGAGCATATCCGCACCCCCAGCATGGGCATGGCCTTGCTCCAGACATGTAAATGCACATGCACACTGAAGGCAGACAAAATCTTCCTGGGCTCTGGTGGACCTTGGAATAGGCTTTGTTTTTGCAGGCTCCTCTGGCCTGCTTGCAGCCTGCTCCGTGGCCCTGCTGCTCTGAACCAAATCCCGCAGTAAAGCTGCATCCGGGCTGCCCAGCTCACGGCTGGTGCAGTGCTGGTGACCACATCACTGTCCCTGAGGCTGCCAGGGCTGAATGACATGGGGACAGGGCTGTGCCAGGAGAGCACAGTGCACTGTGGCATGCTGCCAGGGTCTGGGCAATGTCTGGTTGCTTCATCGCCGCTGGCTGCCAGGAGAAGTCGCTGCAATGCCTGCAGCTGCGCCCTGGGAACGTTTCATCCCTCGGCCCCCTTGCAGCGAGGGGAAGCTGGCTTGCAGGGTGGCCTTCTGTTCCCTCATGGCCGAGTGCCCTTGGAGTTAGGTGAGGGGGCAGTGAAGATGCTAGGCTGCAGAGCTAGAGCCTGCCAGACCGTATCCTGCCAGCCGCATGGTCCCGGAGCCAGGTAGGCGCTGAGTGCCTGCGCTAAGCCCCCCTGCAGCGCTGGCTCCAGACCCTGCTGGGCAAGCCCAGAGCCACTGTAATGGACCCTCCACATCCCTCTGCTCCTCGCTGTCATGGGCCTGCTGCATCCCTCTGCTCCTCTCCGTCACGGGTCCTCTGCATCCCCTCACTCCTCACCCTCACATGCTGCTTGTCCTTAATGGCACAAACCAGTGGTTGCAACAAAAACGGAGCGTGTGCCTGTGTCTGCCACAGGCAAATAGATTTTGTGCAAGTGGCATTTTCAGTTGGATCCCAAACTACCGTGGCCAGACACTGCCCTGTCCTGCTCTGCCATGGGGCAGGGGCTGGTGAGGACGCTGGCCCTGCAGAGGCGCTGTACACGGACTTGGGACTTGCAGCTGGACTCCCTGGAGAGCTGTGCTTCCCTTGCTGGCTGTGTTGGAGCCTGGGCTCAAGGCTGTTTCAGGCTCACCATCTCCTCTGTGTGCTTTTGCAGCCATGGGAAGATACACTGCAACGCTGCCAGCCAAGAGACTGGGCAGGGTGTCCTAGGGGACGCACAGAGTCTGGCACCTGGGAACACAAGGGCTGTTTGAATCCTTGGTGTGTTGGGGCTGACCGCAGCTGACCTTTCTGCCCATCCCAGGGAAGAAAAGCCATGATAGGGGGTGGTGAGGGCTTAGGACGACCCTCCTCAAGATGAGCCGTGATAGGGAGTGATGAAGGCTTAGGACAACTCTCCTCTAGTTCAGCCAGAGCCTCCTCAGGCTTGGTGTGGGAGGGTGACGAATTGAGAGCATTTCAGGGAACTTTCTGTTTCCTTGTTCTCAAATACCCGTGCTGCTGCTCCCTTTCGCTTCCCTCTCCTGCTCTTCCTGCTGGGGCTGTGCATGTCCCGGCTTGCATAGGGTTGGAAGCCGCTCCTTGGAAGATAGCCCGGGACATCCCAGCACCATGAAACCCATGCACCAGGGAGCTTGGTGAACGAGGTCAGGCCTGGCTGCATTTGGGCGAGTAAAGGTTTGAGGAGCACACAGCTCCTCCCTGTCAGCTCAGTCACTGGGCTGGTGAAACGCAGCCTCCCCCGAGACGTGAGGGCTGTTGTGCAAGTCCAACAGTCTGCTGGGACCAGGCAGCACGCCCAGATCTCCAGTGCGGACGGCCCCTCTGATGAAAGGTTGCTGCGTACCTTGCAGTGTAGCTGTGTCCAGAGGCCCGGTTAGCTCTGCAGTGTGTGGCTGGAGCATCACGGACCCCACAGAAAGTGAGTGAGTTGCTCAGGAGGGATGCGAAGCCCTGGGGTAGAGGGGTCTCTTAGCAGTGAGGATGCAATCACAGGCTGAGCAGGTCCATGGTACCACCTCTTGCAGGATGCAAGCTGGGGAATGTGCTGGTGGCATAAGCGTTCATAACGCAGAGCCTCAGGTCCACAGTTCTCTCGGATGCCCTTGGTGCCCGGTGGTAGTTCACTATTAAATACACATTTAATTGTATATTGGGATCTGATACAACTGCTGTTCCGGCTAATTGCAGAGGAGCATCTGAATAGGGCTGCCGGCAGTGTTTAAAGAAGATACAATCAAAGATTAGGCAGTGCCAGAGCATCTCTGCCACCCTACTCAGTGGAGGCTCCTGGCTACGTTGCAAGCACTAATTAATTGAGCCTTGTAAACGCTGCTGTGAGGAGGGTAAATATTGGCAGGTGCTGTTGTTCTGGGAGGGAAGAGCAATGGTGGGATTGGAGGCCAGGCTGTGGAGGCAGAAGTGCCAGCGTGCCACGGGGTGCATCCTGCTACTGGGGCGCCCTTGCTCTGCATGTCACACTGCTGTTGGTCCCCGTTCCAGGATTGTCCTCCCTTGGGGCTGCCAGTGCTGGTCTCACGGGTGAGACCATCTTCATGCCTGCCTGTTGTACCCAAGCGGCTCTCTTTGGGTTCTTGTTTTGTGAAAGAGGGCAGGTATTGTCCGTGCAAGCTGGCACCAAGAGAGGGCTGGCTGAATCCCTGGCGTCAGGTCTCCGGAGCAGTGAGACTGGGCTTCCCTGGACCTCTGACCAGAGGCAGGCTGAGCTTCGGAAATACCAAGAAGGTTCCCCTGTTGAGGTACCCCAGAATAAACCACAGAGCCCCGGAAGCTGGCCTGCTTTCAGACACCCAGCTTCCCCCCACCCCACCCCACCCCAGCCAGGTGCTGGCCCTGAGGAAGTTGGGGTGCTGGAGGGGGAGTGGACCCACTGTACAGCTTGTGGGAGCAGGGTGTGGGAGCAGAGAAATGATTCTGGCCCAGCAGCTTTCCAGCCTTATGTGCCCAGCACTATCCTAGGAGAGCCCATTCCCCCAGGGCAGACCAGCTTATTGCTGTAGGTGAGGATGGGTGGCCATGGGGACATCCCTGCTCCCCAGTAGTGCCAGCCACCTCGGGGAGAGGGGGAGTTGCAGGACAGGCAAGGACACTGCTGCCCTCTGCTCACCAGGGCAGGCAGCTCGATGGCATGGCCATGGCCATGGGTTTATCCATCATCTGTGTCATGGAGAGACTGCACAGTGCCAGGCAGTCTCTGCAGGGGAGGAGGGGGTGGTGTGGTCTGGGGCTGAGACAGCTGGAGTGCAAAGGGGCTGGAGCTGCTGTGCCAGGGTCATGCCAGCTCTAACAAGCAGTCCTGCTGGTCCCAGTGGCTCTGTGCTCTGCCTTGCTCTCCCCTGCATGCTTAGGTTGTTGCAGAGGGACCAGGCTCCCCTGGGTGCTGCTCCTGGGGACAGGGAAGAGGAAGTCTGGCAGAGGTGGCAAGAAGCAGTGGTTTTGCATTTCTGAAAACCTCCCATCACCCCTTCCTTCAATGCCTGGTAGTATCCCCTCAAAGCACCAGTACCCGGAGTCCCATGATGGAGGGACTGGTTACAGGGACAGGTTTGAAAACAGGACCCGTGTGCAATTGTTGCAAGTGTCCAGTGTCCAGACTCTTATGGACCCTGGCTCTGGTCAGTCCTGGAGGACTGTATGAGCAGAGAGTGGGCTCTCCTCCCTGCTCAGCCCTGCCTGGTGAGGTGTCCAATGCACCATCTTCCCAGGGTCTGTCCTTTCAGCATGCCACTAAATGGGACATAGTTGGCTCCTGCCAACTCTTCCAAAGTTCTTCTGTGCTCCTTCTGCACAGGGCTGCTCTTAATGCAAGAGGAGTGGGATTGGGAAGCCCCCTCTGGGGAGCTTTGTAGCATTTAGGGGAGAAACAGGTCTGTCCTGGGGTTGGACTCTCCTGGGGTGATAGGAAAAGTAGCCAATGCCCAGGGTGCAGCCAGCAGGCAAGGGGCATCATTGCTGTCACTATTCAGCACTGGTGAGACCCATTTAGACATGGAGTGGGACATTATGGGTGGGACATGGGGTGAGACATACATGAAGAGCACTTCTCCTGCACTCAGCGTAGGTTGCAGAGGGAAAGTCTGTGCACGGGCGTGTGGCTGGTCAACCATGCTGCAGGGGAGCTGGGAGATGGGCATAGCTGTCAAGCAAGGGGGCGAAGGCTGGGGGTGCCGTGCAGCCCCCTATGTGGAGGCTGTGCTGGATTTATGGCCCCTCTGTGTGCCATGTGCTGGGCATGATGCCAAATCTGGCATCCCTGTACATCCTGTCCCACGTACATCCAGCACAGCGTGACCGTCAAAATGTCCCACCTAAAGCACATGCTCTAGGCAGTGCTTTACTCTTGGGCACAAGATTGTAGGGGAATGGCATTGCTGGAGGGTCTTTGTCGGGGCTGGGGGCTCACTGGGACTCAGGGATGGGCTGCACTGCAGGAGCTCATGTGTTTCTATGGTGTCTGTGCAGAAAAGTGTGAAGGAGGGGCTGTTACTGAAGCAGACGAGCTCCTTCCAGAGGTGGAAGAGGCGATACTTCAAGCTGCGGGGCAGGACGCTGTACTATGCCAAGGACTGCAAGGTAGGCTGGGTGCCCTCTGCGTGCTGAGCGCTGGAGGCTGCCAGGGCTCGTCTCTGGGGGTTGGGAATGGTGCAGTGGCCACTGGGAGGAGGACAGAGCCACACGCTTCCAGAATGCGGAGCAGGAGGGCTTGACCCTGAAGATCCAGGGATGACCTTGAAAATCCTGGCTTGCAGAGCAGATGTCCAGGATCAACTAGCACTTTCCCCAGTGCGTGTGTGCCCCCATGCACAGAATTGCACAGAGCGAAAGAGCTCATACCCTTGGTCTCTGACCACCCACACATGGTAGGGGGGCGAGGACATGGTGTTGCACTGATGGCAGTGGCTGGATGCCCGTGTCGGGAGAGCACGGATGTGGCCAGTTAGGAGGCCACAGCTGTGCTTGGGCAGCCAGGTGATCTGGCTGTACCCCCTCTGCCCAGACATGCCTCCCTACAGACAGCTCTGGTGCCCATCTCTGCCCCAGTGCTGTTGGAAGGGAGGCTTTGCTGCCCATAATTTTGGACTCTGGGACCTGCCACTATGTCTGAGGCTGAGAGCGGAGCTCTAATTTCTCCCCTGCAGTCTCTGATCTTCGATGAGGTCGACCTATCTGATGCCAGCGTGGCGGAGACCAGCACCAAGAACATCAACAACAGCTTCACGGTGAGGGTGGCACAGGGCGCCCGTCCCGCTGCCTGCCATGCCACTCCACCTTGGCTGCAGCACCTGGCCCACGGAGAGGCTCTGCAGCCCCAGGCACAGAGCCATGGGCGTGTGGGGCAGCCCCTGCAGTGTGGCGGCACGGCCCTCGTCTCCTGTGCTATCGGAGCGGGCAGTGAAGCTAGAGGTGTCATAAGCCATGGGATGCTGGTTCGCAATAGCTCTCATGCCCATGGGATTTGCCAGGGGGCTGTGCAGGGACCTGACTCATTGTGTGGTGGCTTTGCAAGGGGACATAGGGGCCTGGCTTTTCTAGGTGATCACGCCTTTCCGGAAGCTCATCTTATGTGCAGAGAACCGCAAGGAGATGGAAGACTGGATCAGTGCCCTGAAGTCTGTCCAGAAGTGGGAAATCCATGAGGTGAAGAAGGCTGCGAGCACATGGGTGGCCTTATCGGTGATAGTCCATAAGGCAGAAAGCTGTTCAGGGGATGCAGGATTACCTGGATAGGTAGGACCATGCCATATTGCCATGGCGCCCAGGTAAATAGCCCCAAGGAGCTAATGTCCCTTTGGCTCACAGCAGCACCAGATCAGGGTGGGCTCTGCCAGTGTGTCCAACCAACTCTTTAGCCTCCTAGGCTCTGTCTGCTCCTCTTCTGAGGCTTGGATATCCTGCCCTCAGGACAGGGAGCTGGGACGGGCTAAGCCCACCCAATTCTGACCAGTCCTTAGAGAGGTCTCAGAGCCAGGGGGTGAGGAGGGGAGGAGTGCTTGCATGGGGCTGGCTAGGGATCCTGCAGCACCTGCCCAACGCTGCAGCCAGGGCCCTGGCACTGATGGGCCAGGGCTCTGCCCCGGCAGGCCACGCAGTTCAACATGGAGCACTTCTCGGGCATGCACAACTGGTACGCCTGCTCCCACGCCAGGCCCACCTTCTGCAACGTGTGCCGCGAAGCCCTCTCAGGGGTCACCTCCCATGGCCTATCCTGTGAAGGTAAGCGCCACCAGCCAGCTGCTGGGAGTCAGGGCCTGCCGTGGAGTGGGCTGGGACCAGTGCGGGGCTGGCTCTCTCCAGCTAGTGGGCAGTGCAGGGGGCTGGAGGCTCACTTGGACCAGGAGTGATGCAGGGTGATGTCCATGGCCAGATTTGCTGGGATGGAGCTGTTTCCAGCCTCAGGGGCTTGGGGCCCAGGGGTGCACATCCCCTGGGGGACTGTCCCTGCTCCTCACCAACTCTTCATCGCAGTCTGCAAGTTCAAGGCCCACAAGCGCTGTGCAGTGAGAGCCACCAACAACTGCAAGTGGACGACCTTGGCCTCCATCGGCACAGAAATCATCGAGGATGAGGACGGGGTAAGCACATTGGCTCCATGCAGGGGAGCCACTGCAGTGGATCCTGGCAGGACAGAACTGCCAGTGTTGTAGCACATGCAGAAGTAGCCTTTTACTGCCCAAATGAGGTGCACCTGGCACCCAGGTGTCCCCTGCCCTGCATGGCCTCTGGGCCTGGCACTGGGGGGACATGGCCCAAGGTGGTTTGGAGGCAACAGCATTTTCCAAGCAGGGCCATCTCCAAATGATTGCTGGCGACTCTCCTGCTCTGCCCCAGGCGCTGGCATCCACAAGGGGCTAGGCAGGCATGAATGAGAGGAGGCACAAGGCCTTCCTGTACTGGTTTGCTGGCTAAAGCTATGAGGCATCCCCTGCCCTCCTCTCCCTAATGTCTGGGGGAAAGGGTCACCCATGGTCACTGTTGCTTGAGCACACAAGGAACTGGCATGGGACACTGGTGGCCGACTACCCCTCTCTCTTCACAGGTGGCCATGCCCCACCAGTGGCTGGAGGGGAACCTGCCCGTCAGCGCGCGCTGTGCCGTGTGTGACCGGACCTGTGGGAGTGTCCGGAGGCTGCAGGACTGGCGGTGTCTCTGGTGCAAGGCCATTGTAAGGATGTACCCCCCCCCAGTGCCTCTCACCCTGGCAGTAGATCTGCCCCTGTTGCTTCTCTGCTTTGCATAGCTTTGTGCACCTCTGCCCATGGCAACCCCAGGCATGGTTGTGGGCTGCGGGCTGGTTGGGGTTCCTGTCTGAGGCCACTGGACCTCTCATGGGCCGTTGGCTGAGCAAGGACTTGGCAGGGTTTTGGGAAGGATGGCCCCAGTGCAAGCTGTGCATCAGACACCCAAAGAGCTGGGGTTGAGATTGGATCTGGTGTTCTTCTCCCAGCCATGGTACTCATCACTCACTAAAAAATCAGCTGCTAAAAAATTAGTGCTCCTTCTGGCTACATCCCTGGGGAAACTGAAGCTCGATGAGAAGTGATCAGCAAAGCTAGGGGTTGGTGCTGGGTCCCCTTGCTTCTGCCACAACTCATGCATATGTCTCTGTACCCCCAGGTTCACAGCGCCTGCAAGGAGCTCTTTGGGAAGAGGTGCCCCCTGGGCGCGTACAAAGTTTCCATCATCCCACCAACCGCTTTGAACAGCATCGATTCAGACGGTGAGTCCTGGAGTGGGGAATGGCTGATCTGTGGATGCAGAGGACAAGTGCTTCTCTTGAACTGTTTGGGACAGGACCTCATGAGTCCTGTGAGCTCCAGCTCCTCCTCAGCAGTCTTTGGCCAGGCTATCATAGCACTCGGCCTGCTTTTCTGTGCGGCACCAGCAGCACTGTGGTCAGTAGGTTCCAGAGTCAATGATGTCCCTCCCTGCAGCACCTTCGGCTGAACTCTGCTTTTTGTGATGTGCTCTAACCTAAGGCTGCAGCAGTGCCATGCCTTGGGGTGGCACTTCTTCTCCAGGTATTGCTTTAGTCGCTCCTGCCAGGCCTGCCTCTCACGGTGGCCCTGGTCATGGTCCCTGCCCACTGTTGCTCTGGGCTCTCACCTAGTGCACCTGCTGGTGGCTTGAGACACCACATCCCTGCTCAGTCCTCTCCATATATCCTCTCTGTGGTTTTCCACCCCTTTCCCTAGGATAGCTGCAGAGAGAGGTGTCTTTGCCCCTCTCCTTCACCACAGGCTCCACAGGGGTGTGGGTGCCTTTGCTCTCTGTGGCCTGGCTTTCCCTGGGCTGGAGTCAATGGTGCAGCTCCAGGTGCCAGCCTCGAGCTCTGTCTCTAACCGCAGTGGCTGCCCCAGATCAATGGCTGCTCAGCCGTTCATCTCCTTGCAGAGCAAAGCAAGAGCCTTGCTTGGGTTATTTCTCTATTTCCAAACCTTTGCTGGCTTTTCTTTAACACAGAGCACGGCCTCCCCAATTGGTCTGTGAGGCTGTGAGATGTCAGGAGGAGAAACGCTCTCGGTGCCCTGACCTCACAGTGATGGAGAGAAGCAATACCTGGCCCAGGGAGACTCCCTCCCCCTTTTCCCTCCCCCTCTCCAGAGGGGTCCAGCTTGCCTCCACTGAGCAAAATCTGTTCTTCTCCTCCAGATATTTCTTTCCTTGTTCTTTAATGATTTTTGCTGCTTCCCTCAGCCGGTAGCTCATCTGCTTCTCGTTACTCATCAGGATGCTGTCAGGGTAACCATCACGCGGCTTCTTTTCAGTTTTAAGAGCCATGTCTCCTTGTGGCTGGGCCCCTATTAGCATCTCTGCTCCATGCCTCCCACGGCAGCCTGGTTATGCAAGGCTGGCAGGGGCTGCAGGAGCTGTGTCTCTGGGTCTGCAGCCCGTCTCTTGCTGGCTGACCCTGGCTAGGCTCTCCTTTGGTGGCAGATAACCCTGCCAGGCCTCGGCACTCCCCCTCCTCCCCGCCGTGATTTCTCCCCCGCTGTACATGTGCAATCGGCAGCAGGCTCTTCCGCTCCCAACCCACACACTGACTCAGCAGCCCCCGGTGTTTTGGTTCTCGGATCCGCTCCGGTTGTTCCCGGGCGGTAGCAGATATCTAGTGATGCCTGAGCCAGGCAGAGGCACCAGCTGGCCCACGGTGGGCCGTGATGATGCCGCTCTGCATGGACGTGTGCCTACCAGGAGCTCCCTTGGCCGCCCCAGAAAGCCTCCTTGCTTGCGGTAGGGTCGCTGCATCGGGGCTTGTGCAGGCACCAGGGCTTCCAACTGCCCCTCACTGTGTGCTCCCGGGGTGGTCTGCGTGTGATGGTGGGAGCAAGGGGCTGGGGGCTGCAGAGATTGCAAGGGTCCCACTGAAGGAGCATGTGAGAGAGCTCCCTCAGCAGAGCCAAGGCAAGGAGCTCAGCACTGGATTCGCGGAGGGCCAGGATGAAGCTGAGGCAGTATTTACAGATACTGCAATACCACAGCTAGTGATTATATAGCCACGCAGCTTGCAAACTCTTCCAGCCGCTGCAAAGGGAGATACCAGACAGGCAGGATGTGTCTGGATTACCAAGTGCCTGAGGTCTCTGCACAAAAGCTGCGGTGGTGGCTAGGGCAGGGGGAGCGCATTGGGGGTCAGCCTGGGCAGGCACAGGCGGCCACTCGGAGCCACAGGTGGTTCAGGGCTCATGGATGCGGCAGCAGCATGACTGCGGGAGCATGCCTGAGGCAGGACACCAGCCATGGAGGGCTGCATCCTGGGGTGCCGTGGATGGGCCAGGGTGTGCAACAGCCAGCTGCGGGCTCCAGGCCAGCTATCGATTCTCCTCTGCCTCGAGCACATTTCATTCCCCACCTAATTTCTTTAAAAGCACAGTGCTATCTCTTGCACAAGCAGGCAGCAGAGCTGGGGGTGACAGTATGGCTTCCTGTGCAGTGCTCTGTCCTGGGAGAGCTGGAGGAGCTGGAGGGTGGCTGGTCCTCAGTGGGTACTGATGGGCTGCAGGCTATTGCCTGTGGTCGTGCTTTCTGCCAATGCCACCCTGGGTTGCACTGCTAGGTCAGATTACCCCCCTGCTGCTGTGGGGTTTTGCTAGGTTGGTCCTGGTTGGATTGCTGGCATGAAGAGGAGTTGACCATCCTGTGCTCACCACCACTTCTGTCCTTGTCAGAGCAGCAGCCCAGGCCCAGGTTTCACCTTGGTGACTTGCCTGGGTCCATACTCCATCACTGCATCTATAGGCACAAACTTGGACCTGCCCCTCATGCCGACCTGGCACAGCCTTGGCACTTCCCCCATCCCTATTTCCATTCCAGTCCCCTTTCCCATCCCTATCCACATCCCTATTCCTTTCTTCATCCCCCATCTCTTTCCTCATTTCTTTCCCCATCCCCACCTCTATCCCCATTCCCATTCCTTCCCCATCTCTATCCCCATTCCTATCTCCGTCTTCATCTCCATTCCCTTCCCCATCCTCATCCCTATTCCCATCTCCATCCCCATCTCCTTCCCTGTAGCCGTTGCCACCTCTCAGCTCAAACTTCCTTTCTCCCTTCTCCATCCCCTGAACATCCTGACTGCCATTTCAGCCCTCTTTCTTGACCCCAGCAGCCTGCAGGCTGGGCATAGCACAATCCAGGTGTCTGTGTGGTCTCTGGTCTCCTAAGGTCTTTAATGTCCTCAGGGAAGCTAGGCATGGGGACGCTGCTTGGGGCTCATATGTGGGTTCACTACAGGTTTCTGGAAGGCCACCTGCCCCTCATCCTGCTCCAGCCCACTCCTGGCCTTCGTCAACTCCAAAAGCGGGGACAACCAGGGCGTCAAGTTTCTGCGCAAGTTCAAGCAGTTCCTCAACCCGGCCCAAGTCTTTGACCTCATGAATGGCGGCCCGCACCTCGGGTAAGCACCAGCCTGGGTGCTCTCTGTCCTGCCAGGATCAGGGAGACGGGGTTGGAAGGGGGGGGTTGCATCAGCGTGGGCCCCACGCAGGAGTATGATGCAGCCCTGAGCTCCCTCTCTCCTGCCCCTGGCCAGGCTGCGACTCTTCCAGAAGTTTTCCACCTTCCGGATCCTGGTGTGTGGGGGAGACGGCAGCGTGGGCTGGGTCCTCTCTGAAATCGATGCCCTTGGCCTGCACAAGCAAGTGAGCAGAAGCGTGGCTGCATGGCATCGCCGCGGCATGGAGCTGGGCGAGCTGGCTATATCCTAGCCCTCTCCCTAACACAGGCACCTGTGGGGCAATGGGGTGGCAGGCCAGCCCCCTCTGCATGCCCAGGGTGCTGCAAACTCCTGGCATGGGTAGGTTGGGGTGCAAGGGACAAGAAGCGGGTGCTTGGCTAACATGGACCCCAGCTGCAGGGCCAGGGGTGTTACAGGTGGTTCCTCCCTCACCTTGATGTGGGTACCCAGGGCTGAGCCTGCCGCAGTCCCCAGCTTGCTCAGAGCACTCTGGGCCTTCTTCTGCAGTGCCAGCTGGGTGTCCTACCCTTGGGGACCGGCAATGACCTGGCACGGGTGCTGGGCTGGGGCAGCCTGTGTGATGATGACACCCAGCTGCTGCAGATCCTGGAGAAGCTAGAAAGGGCCACCACAAAGATGCTGGACCGGTGAGTATGGTGCGGGCCACTGGGGCTCCTATGGGGCTGGGCAGAAGCATCTCTGCTCACCACTTGGCACTGTCATCTCCTGTATCTCTCGGTCACCCTCCCTACCCTCTCGGTCTGCTGGCATGTCCCAGGCCTTTGTCCTGTACTAGAGTGCCCAGGGTGGGCGGATGAGTGGCTGGGGTGAGTGACAGCTAGTGATGGTCTCTCCTTGCCAGGTGGAGCGTGTTGACCTATGAGGCACCCAAGCAATCTCCCCCAGCTGTGAAGGAGGAGGAGAATGGGGACTCCAACATCCAGGTAGGCCGCTCTGGGGGATGAGAGCTCTGTGCGGGGCAAGGCTGGTCCCCTTTCAAGCCATGAGCTGAGATGGGGGGGCACTTGCCGTGGGCTCACATATGTGAAAGGGAAGGTGCGGCCCCCAGAGAGGTCATGCCTGCGGTCCTTGGGGAATCGAGGCTGCAGATGGGCTTCCAGCTGGCTGGGCACAGTGAAATGAGTCTGGCAGGGCTCAGCTCAACACATGCAAAGCCACCCCCCTGCACTGGGATGCACTTTGCCATCCGCCAAGGGGCAGGGTAGCTGGGAGACATGGAGCTGACCTGCAGAGTTGGAGACTGGGAGGCTATTTTTGACTCTTCCATATTCCCCCACCAGCTATGTGCCTCAGTTTCCCTCCTGGTGTGTCCTGCAGGGGCTAAGCAGACTGAGCATTCCCTCTGCCCAACAGCATGAATACCATGTGCCTGCCTTTGGGGCTGGAGGGGGTGGGCTGAGGAGGGCTGTTGTTCATCCTTGGTCCAGGGTGGGCTGGGCAAGTCTCCACCCTGGATTGGGGCACCCTGGAGAGTAGCACAGCCCCAGCTGTGACCGCTGTCCCCCCAGGCCCAGATCTCCCACTACGCCGACTCCGTTGCCTTCCACCTGGCCAAGATCCTGGAGTCCGACAAGCACTCGGTGGTGATCTCGTCTGCAAAGTAAGGGGTGTGCTGGGGACAAGGGTGCAGCTGCCCATGAGCCAGTGCCTAGACATGCACCCAGGGGTGCTGAGCCCTCCCTGGATCAGATTAACACTCAGCTTGCCAGCAGCAGATGCCAGGCTAAGTGCCAGATAGTCCTGGCACTGCCCCACCAGAGCAAGGGAGGCTCGTCCCAATGGTCCCCCAAGGGATGGTGCCCATGCCCAGCCAGTTGGGCTGTGCCCCTGCTGCCATCCTGCCCCTTTCCTTGTCAGGTTCCTGTGTGGCACCGTGAATGACTTTGTGGCTGAAGTCGGCAGGGCTTACAAGAGAGCTACTGAGAACAAGCAGGAGGCTGAGCTGATGGCACGGAAGGTGGGTTGGGGGGCAACTGGGGGCTGGGGCAGGAGACAGGCCCCGTGTGCTGGGGGCATGATCCTGGACCGGTGGAGAGGCCAGCTAGACTTGTCCTGGTACCCTGTTCTCTTGATGTGTGTGGCACATGGGGTGCCCGTGAAAGCACGCTGTGCTGGCAGCGGGCAGCAGTGCAGGGTGGTGTGAATGGTGGGCATCCTGCAGTGCGCCATGCTGAACGAGAAGCTGGACTCGCTGGTGCGGGAGCTGAACGATGAGGCTCAAGCCATCACGGTCCCTGAGGGAATGTCGCAGGCCATGCCGGCTGATGCCAAGGACCACGACAAAGAAAGTGGCTTCAACCCTAGCCCTGTGCCTCGCATTTTCAAATCCAAGGAGCAACTCATGCTGCGGGCAAACAGCCTGAAGAAAGCCCTGCGGCAAATCATTGAGCAAGCAGAGAAAGGTGAGGGGGTGGTGAGGGTCCTGAACCCAAGGTGGACATGTCAGCCCAGGCCCTGCCTGGTGCTGGTCCCAGCAGTGAGCTTGCCTGGTAGCAGGATGGCTACAGTAGCTTCTGGCCATGCCTGGCAGGGGCAGTGCTGGATCCCGGGAGGCTGCTCACTCTGGCACCTGGGCACAGAGGGGCAGTCACCCAGGAGGGACCAGACCCTTGGGTGTAGGCAGGCAGGACTGCCCCGAAGTGCGCTGTGATGCCTGTTTCCACCCAGCTGTGGATGAGCAGAACAAGCAGACCCAAGCCTACTGTGGCACCATGGGCCCCACCAAGAAGGACAGCTCGGAGGAGTGCAACAAGGAGGCGGAGAGGCTCAGTAAGGCTCTAACAGGGCAAGCTGTGGTGGGGCACTGAGGTGGCACAGGGCTGAGCTTTGAGATGGGATGGACTCAAGGCGATCAGGGTAAGGACAAATTTACTAGCTGCCTCCTTTCCTGCTCTGGCCAGGCTCCCGGCGAGAGACAGTGACCTCTGCAACCTCCTCCATCATCCTCGACAGGCCTGACACCTTCGGCACTTTGCAGTTCCCTGAAGACCCCAGCGCCCTGTGAGTCAGAGGCCAAGCTCTCTAGAGGGCTCTCAGGCCACTCTGGCTGTCCGCATGCGCCCCTTGTGTGGCAGGGAGCACAAGCGGGCAGCTTGATGGTCAGCTTTACCTGCTGGCCCATGCTGCCTCTGAGAACAGCACTGCTGTCGGGCATTCTCTGCCTGGCGTCATAGGTGTCCCCTGCCCTGAGCCCTCCCTGGCACCTCAGTGCCCGAGTGCCAGCCACCTCCTGGTGATGTGAGCCAGCACATGCTGCATTTCACAATGTCAGAGCCCCAGCCAGCATCTTGTAGATGCTGAAGTTGGGAGCACTGGGTCACCTCCAGCCAGGTTCTAGGTGCTCAGTGAGAGTCACAGTGGGGGGACCAAAGTGGCCCCAGACACAGCTACTAGGTCTCCCTGCTGGCTTGGGTGGAGCTTCCCTGTGCCTGATACTGGCAGCCCTTTCCTGGCCCATGCCAAGCCCCCTCCCGTTGCTCACATTGCAGCTCGGGCTATTTTTATTCTGCTCCCATTTCCCAGTTCCACCCCAGCAATCACCTGTGAGTGGCTCTCTACCAACCCACTTTCCCTGTCTACTGCTTTTAGCCAATTCTCGGAGAAATGTGTCATGAATAACTACTTTGGCATCGGCCTGGATGCGAAGATCTCTCTGGAGTTCAACAACAAACGAGATGAGCATCCCAAGAAATGCAGGTTGGCTGAACCCCCAGCAAAAATATATGCAGCTTGGTTGCCTCCTGGCTCTCTGGCTTGGGGCTTCCTGAACCAGAAGGGACTCTCTGGATCCCAGGAACTGCGAGGTCAGCTCAGGGCTGCACCTCCACCTAGAGCTGTTGTGCTGGTGCATAAGCACCTCTGGATGCAGATGGTAACAAACGAACCCTGGGAAGCAGGATTGCTGTGAGGCTCCTGCTACAGACACCCATGGGGCCTGGGATAAAGCCTTGCTGGATCCAACTGTGCACTGGTGTTAGGAGCTGCTCAATGGGGTTTACTTGCTGTGCACCTGGATGGGCAAGAGCTTGCCATGCCAGTGTGGACTTGAAGGGGTCTTTAGCATGCCTGCATGCCAGGTGCTGCATCCTGCATCTCCTAGGAGGTGCCAGGCAGCACCCTGTCCTGAAAGCAGGGAAACTGAGACAGAGCAGGAACGTGCCAGGTCTGAGCTCATCTGGAGTCCAAGCCTGAAAGGGAACTGAAAAGCTGGTTCCTGCCCTATGCCTTCCCTCCAGTAACTGAAACAGCGCTGGAAGGGTTAAGACCTTGTTTTTGGGAGCCTGAGCTGTCAAGGCTGCTAGGCTCTGGCTGCAAAGGGGACAATGAGTTGCTGCCCTTTGCGAGCAGCTGCAGACTGGGATGGGCGGTGTAGTAGCCTCCATGGATTGGGGTGTAGGGTGCAGGATCCAGGGTCCAGACTGGGTGGTTTGGTCCACTGCCCCACAGAGGGAGAACGGTCTGCCACAGGACAGAGGAGACTCTGCTGTCCCTCTAACCCTGTCTGTTCTGCCCCGGCAGCAGTCGCACCAAGAATATGATGTGGTATGGGGTGCTGGGCACGAAGGAGCTCCTGCAGCGCACCTACAAGAACCTGGAGCAGCGAGTGCAGCTGGAGGTACATGGGTGAGGGGAGCTGTGCCCCGATGAGCGAGGGTGTGAGGAGGTTGTGTGGGCAGGGAAGGCCAGCAAGGGCTGGCATCCTCCAGGCTCGGCTTTCTCTTCCAGTGCGACGGGGTGCCCATCTCCCTGCCCAGCCTGCAGGGCATTGCTGTCCTCAACATCCCCAGCTATGCTGGGGGCATCAACTTCTGGGGAGGCACCAAGGAGGACAACGTGAGTGTGAGCGCTGTGGGGTGGAGAGGAGGGCACAGGTTGTTCTTCCTGTGATCCTGGAGATCTTGTGATCCCCAGGGTGGGCAGGGGTCTGGGATGTCCCTGCCTTGGGCACACGTTGTGGGGGGAAGTGTGGAGGGAGGCGGGGGGTGGGTCCCAAAGTGCTGGGGCCTGACTCCAACTTGGGGGTCTCAGTTGTGCTGGCCCCCCCGCAGAACTTTGGGGCTCCATCCTTTGATGACAAGAAGCTGGAGGTAGTGGCCGTCTTCGGCAGCATCCAGATGGCTGTGTCACGAGTTATCAATCTCCAGCACCACCGCATAGCTCAGGTAGGCTCTGGTGGGGCCAGGAAAGGAAAGGACTCTTTGGGACCTGTGTGTGCCCACACTGATGCAAGCGAGCAGG